TTTTTTTTAAAAAAATAAAAAAATCATATTTTATTTAAAACTTTTTTTTATATGTGTGGGTGTTTTGCATAGATATATGTTTGTGCACCATGCGTGTACCTGATGCCCTTGGAGGCCAGAAGGCATCAGATCCCCTGGAACTGGTATTTTAGACAGTTGTGAACTGCCACATGGCTGCTGGGAACTGAACCCAAGTCCCCTGGAAGAACAGCCAGTGTTCTAAATTGCTGAGCCATCTCTCAAGTCCTACTTAATTTGTAATATAGGATCAGGTACCCCAGGCTGGCCTCATACTTGCTAAGCAGCATAGGATGACCTTGAACTCCTGATCCTCTTATTTCCACGCTGGGACTACAGGCATAGGCTATCATGCCTGACTTATTGGAACAGGGTTCAAACCCAGGGTGATTTGCTTCCAGAGTTCTGCCTCTATTAAAGACAGGCATGAGTCACCATGGCTAGTTTGTTACTTTTAAAAAGTGACCTGTAGTAGCTACTTTTGGTTAACACTGTTTTTTCTTTATGACCAACTCATTAACAAGGTAACTATTCAATCATTAAGGCACTTTTTTTTTTAATAAGTCACCCAGGTTAGCCAGGGGGCTCATTGGGTAAAGGTGTCAAGTCTGATGACCTGACTTTCGATCCCTTAGTCCCACAAGGTAGAGCAGACTCCTAAAAGTCTCCCTCTGTTCTCCAGGCACGTGAAGTAGCACATGACCCCCTCAAGGCACAAAAATAAACATAATAGACACTTAAAAAAACCAATACTTCATTAAGCAATAGAAAATTATGAGTGACTTTTGAGATCTTGAACCTCAACATTTTGTTGCTATTCAGATCAAAACACAGACATCTTCACATTATTACCATGGGTTTCCAAAGAAGCTGGGGCCTTTCCACATCATTGTCTCTGCGTTCCCAGCAGTGGAGCTTGGTGTAAGCAGAAGAGCTCTAGGGCCAGGTTCCAGTCTAGATGCTTCGGGCTGAAGACGTTTAGCTGTGCACACACACGTTTGGCTCAGTCCTTCAGAGACTGAACAAGGACTAATGAGCTAAGAACAGCAGCAGCAACGATGTGGGTATTTCCAAAACACGGCTTCTCAACATGTCAGAAGTGCTAAGGAGGCTGGAGAAGTGGCTCAGCAGTTAAGAGCACTTGCTGCTCTTGAAGAGGATCCCAAGTACATGTCCCAGCACCTAATATGTCAGTTCACAACTCCAGAGGGATCCAACGTTCTCTTCCAGCCTTCTTGGGAGACTGCACTCACATGCACACACAGTCACGTATACAGATGCACATAAGGAAAAATAAAACTCTCAGTCAGGCAGTGGTGGCGCATGCAGGAGGCAGAGGCAGGCAGATCTCTGATTTCGAGGCTAGTCTGGGCTCAGAGTGAGTTCCAAAGGACAGCCAGGGCTACACAGTGAAACCCTGTCTCAGAAACCAAAACAAACAAACCAAAACAAAAAACATTTTAAAAAGCAGGGGGTCTTATTTTTGAGAAGAGGCTGCTCTTTAGCTTGGAGTGCTTCTTGGTGACTTCCTTGGAGGAAGGTGCCCTTCTTATTAGAACGCCACCCCTTTCTGTAAGGGCTCAAAACTTGATTTGCCTCTCATTAGTTCTCAGCAGGAATCAAACCCTGTTGTAGACTGCCTGTGCCTAATCACCTAAAGCCTGCTACAGGCTCAATCTCTAAAGAGGAGTGGCACCAGTTCCCAGTCCATGAAACAGTTCCTCCAAAATCCCTCGAGGTGGGGCTTTCTTTCGCCACCTTCCTGAAATGCAGAGGGATCTGGAGTACTACTACTATAATGCACAATAAAACTGTAATAACCCTGTAAATAATAATTACATACATTCATATATGTGTGTATACATACCCAAGTCTTACAGGGCAAATGGCTGAGCTGTCTTCCTGCTTCCAAATGAAAACACTGAAGTCCTATCAAAACTTTCTTAAACTACAAGCAAGAGGAACTTACTTCCTTCAACATGTAGAAGCAAGTGGGCAATACTCAAAGTGCTTTTGATATTTGAGCTTCTATACTGACTGACGTCCAGCAAAAGTCATCTTTCAGTTTTGTGACACTAAATACAAAAGCTGTGATTCAAACTTTGGAAAGGTAAGGTGCTCCAAAAATAAGTTATATTTAATACTTTCAGTGATGAGGTCATCATTTTATTTTCTATTCTAATTTAGTCTGTAGTAGTCGGGTTTCTCCTCGGATCACATGAAACGCCTGCCTTTTCATAATTTTGTTTCTGTATATTCTCCATTAAGGGTATGTGTGTGGGGGTGGGGGTAGGATCCTACGGTAGTTCTCCTCTGTCCCTGTTACGTGAGTTACTTGCTTCTGCTTAGCAGAGGTAGAATGGGGCACTTTGGAAGGAGTTAGTCCTGTGGAAAGGACTCTCCCCCAACACCACTGTTAGCAGAGACCTCAACTACAGTTCAGTGTTTAAGTGCAAACGAGCATTTACTACCCCAAAGAACAGGAACGTCAAGACTCCTGGCTATATAGATTCTGCCCACCACAACCTCTTAATATATTTGTGATGAAAAGCTATTGCTTTAGAAACATTAACTATCATATCCAGAAATACCAACTGATTCAATGGCAAAGAGGTAATTTGAAGTCTGCTGTGTTTTAAGAAGGAACCGATAACAATTGAAAAATTCCAGTTACACAGCCTCGTAAAAATGAACCGAATCTAAGGATAAGAAATGTTAAATGAACAACTTAAAGAAGTCATGCCATATTCACCCAGATGACAGGTTTTTAATTGTACTTCCAGTTACTCAAAATAAACATTTATCGGCCTTAATATTCATTATTTGATCTAAAAGAACTTACTGAACAAAATGCTCAGTTCCAGTGTATCCAAAAATACAAAACTACCTTGGGCTGTTTGCGGAAGAGTGCAGACGGAGGGAGACGGACACTGCGATACAGTTGTGTGGATGAAGGTAAACATGGGTCCCTGTTGACAGTCACCCCCGTCATTTGTCCACAGCCACAGATATCCACGCAGTGCATCAGGTCCCGGGGTTGCCCATAAGAAGCGGTAACCCAGTGAGAACCAGGGCTTTTAAGGTCTCTTTAAAAACGTAACGTGGTCAAACAAAAACAAAACCCAAAGCAACCGAAAGACCTGGATAAGCGCTCCAGTTAGCGACTCCTGAGCAACTCAGATCTAACCATACGACTTTAGTGGACAATTGGATTGAAATGAGCAACACTCTCTCAAACAAAACCTATAAAGCCCGTAAATTATGCTCGGCTCTGAGAATCGGCAATTACTAGCACCTTCCTTTCGCATTTTTAAATATTCTATACAGTTCTGCACCCGCGGCCTTTTCATTCATTTATTGCCCTGCACAAGATCTCCGGTGGCTCTCGGGGAATCGCTTCTGTTAAGACTGTCCTGGCAGGGCATCAGAATGCCAAGCCTCTGGGTCGAGATCCCGCCCTCGCTCCTCGGTAGATGGGAACATCATGCGCTTAGATATTCTTATTAATTGCGGGAATGGGAGTAGACCCAGTCCGAAGGGATGCGCCAAGTGGGCAGCCTGGGGTGTGATCTGTCCTTCGGGCGCCCCCAGAATGCGCTCCCTCTCTGGGCCTGCCCTGAGCCCGCGCGCCCCAGGCCTCGTCCGCCCGCCAAGTGCCCAGAGGATGTCCCCGCAAGGACCCCGCCCCTCCCGCGTCCACGCACCTGCGGCCCCGCCCCCGGCCACGAACCTTCAGGTCCACGCATCTGCCCTGCCTTCCCTCCCGCCCCCCGCGCGCAGCCACCAAGCTGCAGGCGCGCTTCTCCTCGGCCGCCCGGGTATCTAAAGGGGTCCGTCTCCGGTACCACAGCCAAATGGCTGAGCCTCCCTGGCCCGCTGCGCAGGCCGCCCATTGGACCCTGCCCCCCGCCGCCACCACCACCATTGGCTGGCATCCGAAGCCTCGCCACTCGATTGGCTCGTGCTGCCGCCGCTCCACGCCGGAGCTGCAGATCCCGCCTCCACGGCGATCAGGTTAGTGTGCGCCGCGGGTGCTGGGGGCTCGAGCACCGAGCGGAGCTGGTTGAGCCTTCAAAGTCCTAAAACGCGCGGCCGTGGGTTCGGGGTTTATTGATTGAATTCCGCTGGCGCAGGATCCTCTGCAGAGAGAGCGAGAGAGAGCGCGAGAGATGGATATGGACAAACGGATTCATTTAGAGCTGCGGAACAGGACGCCCTCTGATGTGAGCATTTGCCAAAAATATCTCTGTCGGTCCATTCTCCTACTTTGTGTTATGTGTGCGTGTGTGTTTGGGGGGGAAGGCACTTTTTTATGGAGGGGTGCTACGGGGAGGTGTAGGGTTTGGGGTCGAACTGCAAATGAATTGCAAGGTTGGATGGGGGGGGGGGGTTGCAATGCTATCGGAGCATGTTCCGGCCACCGCCGCCGCTGCCCTTGGTGTGTGACTGACTACCTGTGCGTGTGCTCCCGTGTGTGCGGGTATGGGTGCGAGGGTGTGCGTGCGAGTGTGCACCCAACGGGGGGCCGGCGGGGCGCACGCGTTCGGGTCGGAGGGAACGCGACGATCTCACCCTCGTCCGAGCTCTCAGCTCCCACGACTCGCGTCTGGATGGAAAAGATGATCGAGGGGAGGAGAAGATGGGCTGCCTCCTGGATTAAACAACAAAAAGGGGGTGTTATATTTTAGAAACGTATCCCCCTTTCCGCCCCCTCCCGCGCCTGCCCCCTCCCTTTGCCGTCTCTCTTTCGCTCGCTCCTTCTCTCGCACACAATAAGTTTTGGGATTCGCGAGTCCGGTTTAGTTTCTGATCAATGTGGCCCGAGGCCCCCGGGGAGAGCGCGTGGGGACCCGGCTGCTGCGGAGTTGGGAGATGGCTCGAGTTTAAAGCGCGTCTTCGTTTCTCTGCGGGGATGAGGCGAGAGGTGGGGAGCCATATTTGTAACTTTGTCGTGTTCGTGAACGCGCCCTTTCTCTCCCTCCCTCCCTTTCTCTGCCTGCCTTCTTTCTCCTTTCTCTCTCACTCTTTCCACCCCACCTTTGGGCCAGATGCTGTCTTTTCTCCCTTCTTCCTCGCGGAAGATGGGAGGGGGGTACCTTAGAAAGAGGGAGAGGGATTGTGGAGTGTGCAAATGCTCAGATAATCCTCACGCCTCCCCAACCATGAGCGATCGCTAGTGTAAGTTGCCCGTAGTCTGCGTCCCGGTGAGCCCCCGACCCCCCAGTTCTCTCCCCAGATGCCAACCTTGGCACCCTGATGCCCCATCGGCACTAGCTACCCCACCTCCGGGTCCCTGCTTCTCCCGGGGTGGGCTCCCTGGCAGCCATTCGGCGCCTGGCTAATAAATGAGCACGGGAAACTTTATCAGGACCCGAGGTGCCCAGAGCTGGTGCTGCTGTGGGGACCGGTCGGGTCTACATTCTTGCAGGCACGGCTGGCACGCAGCTCTGGGATGGGCAGTTCGTCTGGCCGTCGCCGTTATGGATTGGGCAGCGGCGGGAGTATGGCAGGAGGAAACTTACACCGGTGGGAACAAGCAGGCTGGGCGCGAGCCCACTGCTAGGGGAAGTGAGGGTGGGAGGGTGACTCGAACGCTTCTGTTTATTTTTGTCTCCCTCTCGCTTTCACACACTCTCGTTGTCTGCGAGTTGGCCCATCCGAGAGACCCTAGGGTCAGAGGTGGAAATCCTGGCCGGCTTCCCCTCAAGGCCCGGTTGTGGGGAGAAGGGGCTCGCGGGCGGGAAGATCCCAGGTTCAGCCTGGGCGTCCGGGGGGTCGGGCGAGTTGGGGTTTCGCGCAGCACGTTGCACTGACCTGTCGTCCCCCAGCCACTTGGCCCCTCGAATCCTGACAAAGGCAGGCCTCGCTTCCTCTTTTCTCCTAGTTCCTCCCTCCAAACCTGAGTAAGACTTTTGAAAACAAGCTTCTTTCTGCCGTCCGCCCATCCTCACGCAGCTGTGCACTGGAGACGTGCTGCTACAGCCTTATGGCGCGCAGGGCGGGGAGGAGGGGGCGCCGCTAGCAGCAGGACTTGCCGCGGGGCCGCCGGGCTTGGCCGGTGGCGTCCTGACCCAGTCCCGGTGCCCGATCCCGAGGGTGGAGGGGGCTGGGTGTGGTGCTGGGGGAAGGGGCCGGACGCGGGCTTCCCGCGTACTTTCCGGAAGCCCCCTGTACGTAGTTGGGGGGCTTCGGGGTCGCGGCGAGTAGGTGCGCTTAAACGCTGGGCTGGACCGAGTGATCCACAGTACTAGCCAACCTGGAGTGAAACGGAAAGCGGGTCGAACCGGCTCTTTAAACTTCCCCGAGTGTGTGCGCTGGGGGAGGGGCGGGCGCTCTGGGCTGGGCGCGATTTCTCACGCTTCGCCCCCTCGTCGCGAGTCCGCGGCCCACTCGCCTCGGCCCCGGGGCTCCTGGCGGGGTGGGGCGCGCGGGTGGCGGGGGAGGGGGCACTTGCTGCGCATGGGGGAGGGGAGGGCAGAAAGCTCTCGAAAGAGGGACAAAAGGGGTGGGGGAGGAGGAACTGGCTTTTTTGTTGTTGTTTTTCTGTTTTTTTTTGCCTTTTCAAATAAACGTTTTTGGAAAACAGATCGTTCTTGGGAACCTCCCTCCCCAGAGTCCCCCTCCCCCCAACGCACCCACCTTCTGCAACCTCTCTCTCTCCCAAGTCGCTTCTCGGGGACTGGTGGCCGCGACGCCGCCGAACTAGGACGAGCAGCCATGTTTCCCGGGGCGCCGGCGGCCCGCCCCTCCCCCACGGAGGCCGCAGACCCGGCTCGGCGGGGACCCTGGTGCCCACTGGAGGGGACCCGGGCGCGCACAGGCGCTGCAAAAGCCCGGCGGCGCGGGCCTGGGGATCCGGTCTGGAGAGGGCGCGGCGGGTCGGGGGCCCTCGACCCTCTCGGACCTGCGGGCCACTGTCTGTCCTCGCCATTTGCACTGCTAAGCCGGCGGGAGACCCAGCCCCAGGGTGCCTGCCATTCTCGGGGTGCAGGGGCAGCCGTCCCCGGCGCTGTGCCGGTGGCTCGCCTGTCGGGCGCCGAGCTGCCATTTTGTCACCGTGGCTGTTGTCGCTCGGGGGGGGGGGGTGAGAGGCTTGCGCCATCGTCCCGACGGCTGCCCTCCAGCGAGGTGGCTTCTGGGGGAGCTGGTCCCAGGGACACCCCCTCCCCACTTTTGCATTCGGTCTTATGGAGGCTCCGGCCCCACGCCCGGGATCTGAGGATCCCAAAGCTATCGCAGCCCTGAGAAGGTGACCGTCTCCTTAGCAAACGCCCCCGCCCTCCCACCTCTACTCCCTGGCCCCCCCCCCCCCAGCTCGGTTTTCCGCCGTGGCTCCCGCTGCGATCGCGACTGCACGTAGTGAAAGGTGGCCTTGAAGATGGAACGGTCGCCCTGGTGTTTGCGCCTTCGGTGGAAATGATAGGGTGGTGATTGGGGGGTGAGGATGAAACTGGAGGACGGGAGGGGCTCTGGCTCGTCAGTCTAGTGTCCCTAACCGAAGTTGAGGGCGTCGGCCTCCTACCCGGGAGGAACAGTTGTCGGGCTGCGCTGGGGGAAACGCCCTCCCGGGCCGGGCTCTAGAAAGGTTGGTCGAGTTTCAGGTGGGTGTCGCAGCACCCTGCAGGCTGGGGGAGCTCTCGCTATTTATCCTTGGCCCTCTCCCACCCGCCTTTTTGTTTTGGCGGGGAAGGTAGCTAACTACATAGTAACCGTTACCCTAGGCCGAAAGAGAAATAGGACTTTTCTTTAAAAAAAAAAAAGTAAACTGTCTTTTTGTGTTGACTTAAGACTCAGGCAATTTGTTCCCAATGCTGGTCCGGATATGGGACTCAAGCGTGTGGTAGGCACCTCCCTGACTGTTAGGCTGGTGTCTACATGCAGAGACTAACTTCCATGGAAGTGTCCGGCATAAGCTGCCATCCGAGCCAGCGTCTACTTTGACCTCTGGAATGCATTGCATGCTTTTTTTTTTTTTTTCCCAGGCTGACTTACTACCTAATTGGGTTCAAGTGGCCCGGTATTTGCTCCAATTTATGCAAGCCAAGCAGGGATTCAGGGGCAGAGGACTGAGTGAGACCTTGGTGTGGTGGTGGTAATCAGTTGAGCCTTGTGACTGGCAGCCGCTACTGCTTGCTGCTTGTTTTGAATCTGAAGCCGTGGTGAGGCTGGCTTCTGAAACCACACAGACCTGTCTTCGAGTTCACCAGCTACATGCTAACCCGTGGTCTGGGACAGGCTACCTCAGTTTACCTCCAAAGCTTTGCACATATGTTCTGTAAGAAGGAGACAGTGCTACTTTCTCAGTAAGTAACAAAATTGGTTTGATTTGTATAGTCTCTGATGCTGGGGAGTGGTGAGGGATAACTGATGGCATCCTGGAGCTTTACAATAACTAACAACTCCAACAATAATAGCGGATGCTTACATAGCCTCTTACTGTGTCTGGCATGTTGCTAAGTGGATTACACACATCTGTTAATTAATCCTCACAAGGGCACTATGTTAGGTACTGTTGTTATTCCTATATTAAAAGTAAGGTAGTCGAGACAGAGCTCCAGGTCACGGACAGTGCAGAACCCGGATTCTAACTCGTTGGTTGTATTCAGCTTCTGTACTGCGTTGAAGCCCCATTACTAGTTGTATGTAAAGCACCATAGGGAAGGGTTTTTTCTTCTCCAGCCTTGGAGTTATGCCACCTTATTAGCAAGAGGGTGGCTTGGAGTTTGTTGGACACTGAAACAAAGCATGGCTTCCTGTTAGCTTTAGGTGGGACAGACGCAGGCAGGGTGGGTGAATAGGCATTTTAAGGGGAAGCCTTACCTTGGTTTTGCATATAAATAAACATTGTTTTAGGGTGAGATGAAACTGGCCTCTTTGATGTCAGGGTGCACTTTTAGGGTAATGAGAAAACAAGCAGGAGCCCTTCTTAGCTAGTAGTTATTTGGGGTCTTAGGTATAATGCATTTCCTGTTTTTTTTTTTAATATTTATTTATTTATTACATATACAGTGTTCTGCTTGCATGTATACTTGCAGGCCAGAAGAGGGCACCAGATCTCATTACAGATGGTTGTGAGCCACCATGTGGTTGCTGGGAATTGAACTCAAGACCTCTGGAACATCAGGCAGTGTTCTTAACCTCTGAGCCATCTCTCCAGCCCCCTGCATTTCCTGTTTTTATTAGTCTTTTCTACAGAAAGAACAAAACTTCTAGGCAGAATAGGTAGGTCTTTTTTTTTTTTTTTCGAGACAGGGTTTCTCTGTAGTTTTGGAGCTTGTCCTGGCACTAGCTCTTGTAGACCAGGCTTGCCTCAAACTCACAAAGATCCGCCTGCTTCTGCCTCCCAAGTGCTGGGATTAAAGGCTTGCGCCACCACCGCCCGGCTAGGTAGGTCTTTAGTGTTGGGGTGTAGTTGCTGATAATCCTGCCTGGAACTTGGCACCTAACCCTGCCTGCAGTTCCTTGGGGATGGGCAAAGCAGAAGAGACAAGCTCCCTGCCGTGATTATGGATCACCTAGGGCTCGAAGTCAACCTCCGAGGCCATCTGTGTGGACAGTAGAGAACAGAGGTTTGTGTGGTTCTGCTCAAACATGACCTATATTACCAGATCAGGGAAGCTGATGAAATGTAGATTCCTGGGCTCCTCCCCCTGGGTATAAGTTTACTACCAGATCACTGAACTGCAGCTAAGTGGCTTGTCTTTAATGCCACGTGAGTTGCAAACAGTTTGTATGTATAAACACTGAGGGGTTTGATTTGGGGCAGTAGCCTTTGAGTCCTCGTCCCTACAGATTACTCTTATCACTTTAACAGACCTATATTACCAGGAGAAAAAACATGTACCCGTTATGTTTTGAACTTGATCAATAAAAGAATTACAGGGATATCTGTATTGTTTTGTCATAAAAGCACCTGTGTTGTATTCTCAATTTTTTTTTTTTTTTTTTTTTTTTTTTTTTTTTTTTTTTTTTTTTTTTTTGGCTTTTTTGAGACAGGGTTTCTCTGTAGCTTTGGGGCCTGTCCTGGAACTAGCTCTTGTAGACCAGGTTGGCCTCGAACTCACAGAGATCCGCCTGCCTCTGCCTCCCGAGTGCTGGGATTAAAGGCCTGCGCCACCACTGCCCGGCTCTCAATTTTCTTTCTTGGTGAAGTTTACTACCTGGAAAGTGGACTGTGAAGCTGCCGACAGTCCTTTCAGACCCTGTCCCCTCCCTTGATTAGGGACAGCCTCTCAAGGTGACTTACTTGGGACTTCTACAGATAGCCACCCTTCTTCCTACTTAGAGAGTATGGGAAAGGCCCCTGACTCAGTGCTGACTCCACACTGCGGAGTTGGGAGGTGTGGTGTTTACATCAACTGTGCACCCCTCTTCCCTCTTCAGAGCCCAGAGCTGTGTGTCTGTGATTAGGGTCTGATGGAATGAACTTGGTCCAGCATTCCGGCCTGAATTCTGACTTGGAGACATTCACTTCGGGACTGTATCTCCTAGGACCTGCTCTCCACCACTGCCCAGCACTTGCTTCC